TACTCTCCCCACCACTTGTAGATCTGCTTACTCGCTATATCCGTAGAGGATAGTGGGTAGCACACTGAGTCATAGAGCAGGAGGAAAGACGTGTTTATAACGGACAGTTATCGAACAGTAGAAATTGGAGAAATATTTCACTCGTAAGAAAAACAGAAATTTAATAGCATGGAAATTGCATTTCCCTTTCTACCAAAAGGAAGACGCTACCTAAATAATGATACCGACAACTTCAGTCGTCCGGTGCACGTAAACTGGCACGTGTCGAATCTTGTTGAGCCGGGATACCGTGGGTGGAGTGGTTTTAAACTGCTATTTCTCCTCGATGAGCGATACGCTGTTGACTTTCATTAATTCCAATTTTGCTGATTCAATTAATGATGACGATAATTTCATGTTAATAATTATTTAACATTATTTGTAGATTTATATGAACATTTGTTATCTCACTACATTACCATTTATTAAATTTATTTAACAGTAAAGTAAAAATCTGAAAAATAATTCGATATTTGATCTTCTGTAATTGCATTTATAAAATTATTCTGTTATTTATTTGAAACAGTGAAATCTCTAATTTCGTACCATCCTTAATACTAAAGTTAATGCTCTCTTTGTTATGAAATAGAGTGGGAAACTCAAATNTTGATAATGTCTTGCACATGGATACGGACTTTTATGTAATTTCGTTGTATAATCCAAGTGTTCTCATGAGCGTGAAACTCTTACCTTCAGTTCATTAACATGAAGCCACTGTTTTTCACGTTGGTACACACCTTTGCCGAGTTTTCTCACAATCACTATAGATTATAAGATCGCGTGCAATTGAGAAAAGTAAAGAAAGTGTAAACAATCAGTGAAACAAACTCTTATGGACATGTACAGCAAATTCTCCCCGATTGTCCCTCAGCTTGTAAACAAAAATGGACAATTTATGAAAAAGAGATGCGATTATTCGAGCCTCGCAGCTCACTTTTATAGTCGCCGATTGTCAACAACCATAAAAGCGAGCCACGAGGCCCGAATAATCGCGTCTTCTCTTCCCAAATTGCCCATTTTTGTTTACAAGCTGAAAGATAATTGGGGAGAATTTACTATATAGGGTATTTTTAAGCTATTTGATATTTTGACAATTTACTTTTGAGACATGGACGCTTTTTCAGGACAATTATTGATCAGCCAATCTCATTTCTACTCTCCCCACCACTTGTAGATCTGCTTACTCGCTATATCCGTAGAGGATAGTGGGTAGCACACTGAGTCATAGAGCAGGAGGAAAGACGTGTTTATAACGGACAGTTATCGAACAGTAGAAATTGGAGAAATATTTCACTCGTAAGAAAAACAGAAATTTAATAGCATGGAAATTGCATTTCCCTTTCTACCAAAAGGAAGACGCTACCTAAATAATGATACCGACAACTTCAGTCGTCCGGTGCACGTAAACTGGCACGTGTCGAATCTTGTTGAGCCGGGATACCGTGGGTGGAGTGGTTTTAAACTGCTATTTCTCCTCGATGAGCGATACGCTGTTGACTTTCATTAATTCCAATTTTGCTGATTCAATTAATGATGACGATAATTTCATGTTAATAATTATTTAACATTATTTGTAGATTTATATGAACATTTGTTATCTCACTACATTACCATTTATTAAATTTATTTAACAGTAAAGTAAAAATCTGAAAAATAATTCGATATTTGATCTTCTGTAATTGCATTTATAAAATTATTCTGTTATTTATTTGAAACAGTGAAATCTCTAATTTCGTACCATCCTTAATACTAAAGTTAATGCTCTCTTTGTTATGAAATAGAGTGGGAAACTCAAATTGTTTTTTCTGTTTTGAAATTCGTTTCTCACAATGGACGAGACCACAGAGTTTATAAGCATTTTTTCCCACATTTTTTTCAATATAAACTTATATGGGAAAGTCCCCGCTTTACAATGAGCTCTTAAAGTTGATCTGCAACTTTTATATTATGTTTTCATTATACTTTAGATAAAAATACATCAAAACAAAGATAATGTAACATTTTAAGTAGCATTTATGTTATGTTTGTACTCACCTGGGAAAGAAAAATCAAAGTTAATCTGAATTTAATGAGTGTGTTTATCTTTTGTACTAGACTGAAGCAAACGGAAAGCGTGTTTTCACAAAACGGCAAGTATGTAAAGAGAGAGAGAAAGAATAATAATAAAATAAAATAATAATAAAATACCATGAATATTTTACAAACGATAAAGGAACTTGCCAATGTTTTCATAATTCTGGTATCAGATGTAAAGTTACATCTATTTTATACATATGTAAACTGTGAAAAAGATTAGTTATCCCATCATTGCGAAATTCATTTTCCAAAATTCAGTCATTTTGGAATTCCAAAATTCCAAATTTCGTCATTTTACAAAATATAGAATTCCACTAGATTTATAGAAATTACAATTGTTTACACTAGCTCACATTTTTAAAATTCGCTGCTACTTTTTAATTCAAGGAAAATTCAGCTCAACTTGATTTGAAGAAACTGCAATTTTGTACAGTAACTCGTACGTTTAAAGTTTCCGCGACAATGCAATTTCTTCGAATTGTTTTCGAATTGACTTCAGTTCGATTTTATACCTCTCCAAAGTGGAGTATCTTCTTGAGATTAAGTAGCAGCAACATTATCACGATGTCAACGCTGAGTGGACACTCGAGGACTAATATATCGGTTAGACGTTCTTTAGCTCTGTCTTCGGTAACAGTTCGTTGTACGTGCGTTACGTTCTTGGGAAAATTCTCAGAGATTCCCGGCAGGCACAAAGGAGGCATCATACTCGCGTACCGTTTACCGGAAGTCGAGAAGAGGGTTGCGATAGCCGTTTAGATGCATTAGATACTTTTCGCTGTGGATCGGTCTTCTCGAAGGCGAGAACAAATCGGAACACTTGTCAGTGACGAGATTCTAACTCACCGCACACAATCTCATCGTCTGCTTCAGAGTAGACGCTGCCTGTCTTCTCTGTTCTATTCCGTGCCGACAATGATGTTGCGTACGCTTAACTGCTTGCCAATTACGGCATGGATCTTTTGTGAAATCTTGGAAACAGTTGTCGATGAGTTTCTCCTTTGTCATTGTGTTCTCGAAACTGTAGTCTTGGGAGTTTAGTAAGGCAATTTTTGCTGAAAATTTACAGCATCGGTTTCGCACTCCTATATCATTGTTGGATAGAAACAATCGTTGACTTGAATAAAATTATATATGTGTCGAAGAATACATATTATCTTCTTGGATTACAATCTATATACTTCGACGATTTTAATTAATTTCGGTTACTTTCTAGAATTAAAAAATATTTCATTAAAAATATTGTGTTTGTTTCTTGTCAGGTACAGAAAGAGAAAATTAATTTAAAATAGGGAAACTTTTTAGCAATGATTTGTATTATCCTCTTAATTTCGCTCACTAATATCTTTCTGCAATATCATTAAGTCCTATTTCGTACCTGTCCAACGTATACGCAATATCATTCTTCATTTATAATATTCGCAAATATTAGGCAAATAAATAATTTTTATTTTCAAATCACGGCAAGTAATGGAGAATGATCCTGTAACGTTTACTTTATCAGCAAATGAAATTGGTATGCTAATAATAATAATAATAATAATAATAATAATAATAATAATAATAATAATAATAGTAATAATAATAGTAATAATAATAATAATAATAATAAAGCTCTCAACAATCATTTGTTAAACATGGTATTATATTTAAACAAACCAATAACATGATGTAATGAGTATCAGAATGAAGCTTAAAATCTTCGAACAACAGCGTTTTGTATGATCATGATAATAATACATCTTTAATTGCTGATTTTGAGATAAGATAATTTCGTGCGATGCATCGATGCCTTTACGATTTGCTTGTATGAAACTGATTCTGCATGTAACGGGTGAGCTCGTTTAACGGGCAACGAACCTGGCCGCTCTGTTCGTGTTCGCGTCTCTCTCTTTTTTTTTGCCGTAAATTATAATATACGAAATCGCACGGAAGCGTGCATAGAATTATTCATAAACGTTCCGCGGGCAAAGGCGATGATTAGGCGTGCTCATTTTCCAGCGTTGCGCAGCTCGTTCTATCACGCTTGCTTTCTTCTGACCGCGATACAATCTCAAGGCGAGGTCAGTTCAGTGACACCTCTTTTTAGACGCATTATTATATGCATGCAAAGAGCCATCGAGCCACTTGTTCGCTCGAGATCTGCTAGCTGAACTTCCAGATCCTGTTCTCGATGTTGCTTGGAAAAAATTGCAATGGGTATCGCAAGACTTCGACCGACGCCGGACATTTACGATGAGAAATGCTCGTTGACGTCCTCTTCGAGTCTAGTCTTAAAGCTCGTACCGATACCGGCTTCACTTTCGCATCGGAAAATTTATCTCGACGCTAGGAATTTCCCTGTCCACGCTCTGTTCATTGCGTTCGTACGGTACTTTTAAATAACCCGACGCGCTATAGCTGTCCCTAATTAATACTTAAAGCGCGAAACGACAACATTACAATTTTGTCTTATTTCTAACGTAATTTTGTTCTTAACGCATCGAATAATATCAGATCTTAATTTTTATTTTCAATACATTCATAGAATAACTAATTTTTAAATATATGCAATAAATAATTTTAACACTGTATTCTTTTTTGTAAATGATTGTTACAACAAAATTTTTGTATTCTTCTATGGTCGTGTATGATGGTACATATGCAGCGCGCTGTGGTTAATGTGTTAATGAAATGAAACAAGATTTCTTTATAATAAACATTTAGAAAACAGTTTGCAGTTACATTGGCAGTCTTTAATACCAGAACTATTGAACTAGTCTTTATTTCTTAGAAACATTATGAGAGAACACTGAATAAATTAAACCAATCTTAAAAGTTTGATATTATATATAACATTGATATTTTTTATTCTTATTTATTGATTATTAATTCTCTTTTTGCAGATAGAACGCGAGGTAGTGCTGTCGTCGACAGACAAGAATTCAAAAATCCCTATCCTTCATGAGTACAAACAAAAAACTGCAGGAAGAGTCGCAATTGCACCGGATGCGCCGATCAAGCAGCAGGCTTGGGTTCAAGAAGTGAGTCCACTCTTTTGCTATCATTTCTAAAAACCATTGCTCTCCTAACAGATACAAATAGTCTGAGAAAACGAGAGATAGGAGAATTTATTTTTCGTAGAAAGTATTACTTTTCCTCGTAATATCGGGTTAACAAAAAACTGTACACAGAAAAAATTGCACAAACTACTGACTTATTCAACTGTTACCTCGTTTACGAATTTAAATCCTTTTCTTCAAAAGCAAAAACTTTCGTAAAAATGGAATTGACAAAATTGTTAAAGACTTGATGAATATAAAATAATATAATAATTTAAATATATATAATAATATAATAATATATAATAATATAATAATATATATATAATAATGTAAAAGATTCCAAAATCAGTCTAATGATTTTATAGACGAAATTAGAAATATGGGAAACAGATGAAAAAAAGTCATTTACAATGAGTGAATTTTTTCAGGAATTAATTTATATTAATGATCACACATAAAAAGAAATTGAAAAAAAAACACTAAAACTTCTGCGTACACCTAATTATGTGAGACTAGAAGATCTTGAGTGTATTTGTACGTTTTAAAGGCTTTGTATTTATTCTAATATTAAAATAAAAAATCAAGAGAGCATCGATTCGTTATTTCACAACGTGTAAAGAGTAGAACGGAGAGAACTCTATTCGAGATTTCTCGCACCTCGATGGGTTCCCCTGTGAAAATCCAGGCAAGGGGTTAATGAGAATCCACTCATTGTTGTATTTTTTTACGAAATGCTTCATTCATTCGCGGTTTATTCACTGGCGAGTGCGACTCTCATTGGATGTATGCGTAACCAGCTCGAAATGCGAGTGGGTGTCGCTAATGTACGTGTGGCAGGATACTGTTTCGCGATCGTTGCTTGCAAACGGACAGACTTACCAAAGGTTGCCAACGAAATGTCAGAAAACATGGTAGACTTCTACTCGAAGCAGACCCGTTGATTTTCTTGAATAATATTGAAATATTCTCTTGAAATTTTGATTACGGAATTTATTGAAATTAGATCGATGAATTTTATTGATTCCCTAGCTTGGAATCGATTCAATACAGTATTAACAATACAATACAATACAATACAATACAATACAATATAATACAATACAATACAATACAATATAATACAATACAATACAGTATTTTTATGAAAATTGTTCAGTGTATTTTGTGGAGTTCGGCGACTTTTGCACGGTTCCACGACGATTTATCAGCCGATATCAGTGAGAACGAAGTCACTTGGCTAATTTATTTCGCCACGAAGGCTCGCTATTGTTATATGAACAATGTAGTCGTTGCGCAATCTATTAGCTGTTTCCTTTCACTTATTTAGTGTGTACATAAATCATCTCTTTACTTGGCCTACTAAAGAAGAAAATATGAAAATAAGTTCAAAACAATATCTGGAGTATCTAGAACACAAAGTTGAAAAAACTTTTGGTGCTTTCCATTTTCATGGGTTGAGAAAAGAAAGGGCTCCAATGAGTTTCATTCGTCCAAAGATTTTTTTAAATCAAAATAAAATTAAATAATATTAATTTCGTTTCACGTTAACATTTTGAAGAACTGAAAGTAAGGCGTTGAAACGTGTTTTTTAATTTTTGAGAATTTTAAGTACGGGGCAAATGTTTTTGAAATTAACAGTACAGTAATGAGTATAGAAACTGACGACACTAATAGATCATTGTTTGCTTTAATTGCAGAAGTCGATTGTAACAATTAACAAGACACACATTCGAGCAAATGTTTCTCCAACGACCAAAATCAATTGGCGTTCACATTAACGCTTGAATCAACATCCATTTGTCCAGGCTGTACACTCAATTCTGATATTAATTACTGTCGACTAGCTTATCATCGACTGCCAATTGTCAGATGTGTGTGTACTCTGACGATAATTGACGTTCGCTGCTCCGATATCAAAGCTTTTGATGGTATCTCAATCATGAGAGTGTTCCGTGAACCCTTTCTCGTTCTGCTTATTAATCCAATTAGATTTTCGAGAACCTCTGACCTCGCGCTAACAACGAATTTCAACGGAATATTTAAATTATTAACAATCAAAGATTTATATTAAAACCTGAAACTGCAGAAAAATAATTAAATGCTTCTACTGTTTTAGGTATTTCTCTTATGTTCTTTGCATATATAATTTTTTCAGGAAAAAATTTTATTCGACGATGTAATTAGAATTACAAATAAACATTGCATAATTAATAGAAAATAGCTGTGTTGAACAACGTTGATAACGCTCAGTCTAGAAATTGGTTCCGATATAAAATTTAAACCTTTGCTTACTAAAATTGCATTTTTCACATTTTACGAATTTTTTATAAAAAAAGACCCTGTAAAACTCGCAGCGTGTACGAAAAATTTTATTGCGCCAATCACTCGCGAAAATTGTGTATTCCAGTGTACACACATACACGTACAATGAAATCTGTCAAATAGACGGCGATCGATAAAAAAAAAATGTGGTCGAACCAATCGAACCTGCCTATCTCAATATTGCATAAAATTGTTGGACACGATTGCGATATATTGTGCACACAAAAATTAACAAAGTTGACGATAGAAAATTTGTTTGTTGCAATTACTAGTTATTTTGAAATGATTAAATTATTAACACAATATCTACAGGCGGATGTTCAATTATTCTTCACAGATATTGATTCCTTCGTTAATTTTTCAATAGAAATAGCAATTTAAATTTAGAATCAATAATTTATCCTTGATAACGTTTTCCCACGATTATTTTTCAATTTATTATTTAAAAGAACACTTTTAAGTTCCATTTTGATCTAGTACAGCGATTGAAAATCCTGTTAATGCAATTATTCCGGCGCGTAAAGCGTTAAATAATAAATAAATCAGTTATTAGTAACATAATATAATTTCTTTCGTAATTATCATGTGGTATTCTTCATATCGATGAAGCGTTAAATTATTAAATTTCTGTACGTGAAATATATTATTATTTAAGTAAACTAGTCACCACTTGTGATACAGCTAAATAATTTTTTTAGAATGTTTATTTAAAATAAGTATTTTAAGCTAAATTAAGTTCTAGTAGAACGATTGAAAATTTTATTAATAGAATTTTTTATGCATGCAGGTCCGGTGTTAAGTTATTAAATTACTGTAGCTGAAAATGTTGAATTATTTTTTAAATAAATTAGCCATTCCCTGTAATACGATTTAATAAATCCATTTAGAATCATTACTTAAAAGACGAATTTTCATCTGCACTTTGACATAGTACAACGATCGCAAATCCAGTTAATAGATTTTTCATACGGACAGAGCGTTAAGTTATTTAATTATTTTCGATAAAACGTTAAATTATTTCAGATGAGGCATTAAATTATTATTAACTCTACTTTGACACAGTACAGCGATTGATAATTCAATTCGGAGGATCCCTAAAAGTCTGAAAATATTTTTGTAATTCAAATGGAATTCCACAAACCAGTTATAGAAAGTAAATAAAATACGAGTATAATAAAATATTGTGTTCATAGAATGGGACGGAAAATGGAAAGAAAAGCCAAGCGATTGTAGTCGTAATGAATGAAAAATATGACACAGTGGAGGATTGAATTCTCGAACGTTTTATATTGTGGTTCCCGGCGAGGTGTTCAGGCTGTGAAATTCTTACGTTAGGTTTGGCGCAATGTAATCCCCAGAGGGTACCTGTTGGAAGGGCTATAAGTCAGAATATCTTTTTTCGTATGCGGAAAGCGTGTCGCCGAGCCCTATGAGCACAACTTCACTTGCACTTGTCTCACTCTCTTCCCGTCTCTCTCTCTCTCTCTTTCTTTCTCTTTCTCCTTCTTTCTCTCTCTCTCTTTCTCTTTCTTTCTGTCTCTCTTTCTCTCTCTCTCTCTCTCTCTCTCTCTCTCCTTTCGTTTGATAATATCGGTTGTTATTCCAGCCACATCCTTTTCAACGAATCAGAGGATTCAGTCCGACAACTTTGAAATTCTCTCTGCGGTTTAAACGAACATGCTGCCATTAACCGTCCGATGTCCTCTCGTCGATAGAGAATTGTTTACGGAGGATACGGGCAACCTGTCCCGCGACGTTTCCTTTTTTGTTATTACGTCCCATGAGAAACAATGATGCCACTCGTGTAACGAGAATTTTCTAAATTAANTTTTATATTGTGGTTCCCGGCGAGGTGTTCAGGCTGTGAAATTCTTACGTTAGGTTTGGCGCAATGTAATCCCCAGAGGGTACCTGTTGGAAGGGCTATAAGTCAGAATATCTTTTTTCGTATGCGGAAAGCGTGTCGCCGAGCCCTATGAGCACAACTTCACTTGCACTTGTCTCACTCTCTTCCCGTCTCTCTCTCTCTCTCTTTCTTTCTCTTTCTCCTTCTTTCTCTCTCTCTCTTTCTCTTTCTTTCTGTCTCTCTTTCTCTCTCTCTCTCTCTCTCTCTCTCTCTCCTTTCGTTTGATAATATCGGTTGTTATTCCAGCCACATCCTTTTCAACGAATCAGAGGATTCAGTCCGACAACTTTGAAATTCTCTCTGCGGTTTAAACGAACATGCTGCCATTAACCGTCCGATGTCCTCTCGTCGATAGAGAATTGTTTACGGAGGATACGGGCAACCTGTCCCGCGACGTTTCCTTTTTTGTTATTACGTCCCATGAGAAACAATGATGCCACTCGTGTAACGAGAATTTTCTAAATTAAAGTTATTATTAAACCATGAAAGTAATCGGAGAAAAATCTTGATCCTTTTTTGTTATTACGTCCCATGAGAAACAATGATGCCACTTGTGTAACGAGAATTTTCTAAATTAATAATCTTGGTAAAAATCTGGTACTTATCTAGACACGCACATAATTTTTCACAATTTTTGGAACGAAAGTATTAGTAACTATTATTAATCAAAGTAATTATTATTAATTAAAGTAATAGTAACTATTATTATCCCTGTTAGAGCATATATGATTAAAATTGCGTATATGATTGTTGAAAGAATGATTTTATTCTCTTGATTTTTTTACCAGATATAAAATAATATGTTGTCTGTGGTTACGTGAAGGGATAGTTTGTTAGAATAATTTGTTACGGCGATAAAAATTGTCAAAAAACATTCCATATCAGGGCCTTTCTTTTTGTAGCTTATAAAGAGAAATATATTCCTCTTTATACTAATATTTTCTTGATATACAACTGACTTTGAGATTTCGTTTGCTTCATCGTTAATGAAAGAAGTTTCCACATCAAATATAATTTATACATATAATTATATTAATGATGGACACTTAGTTTTGTGTGTTCCGTCGAATATTTTATGTCAGGGGTTGTAGTAACAAAATATTAGAAATGTCAGCATCTGAATGGATTCTAGAATCTTTTTTTGAAGATTGTAAGTAACATTACTTATATTTCAAGAATTAAAAAAAAAATGTGTTCAGTAAGATGTGTATCAGCGCTATTAATTTGTATGATTTGAAGCGCTATTAATCTTAACATCGATAATTAATGGTTGTTTATTTAGTTATTTGAATCTGCTTCGAAGTATAAGACTCCCTTTGCTGTTATGATTATATATTGCGTTAAATATATCGATTGCGAAAGAAATAACACCTGAGAAAGGTTTGCGTACCAGCAGCCACTTCTAATGTCCGCATTTTCTATCAACAAATTAATGCTCCCGATAGCAAGTGGCTCAGTTTGTTTGCTCGTTATCGCTTAACGTCATTCTGAGAGCGTATTACGTAATTAGTCGTAACTTGTTTGCAGCAAGATACCCGGTCTAATGAGATATCTCGTGTTCCTAATGAATGTGAAGTTCGTTCTGAAATTACGACATAACTGGCAAAGAACATTGAAAGGAACATTTAGATCGAGTCATGGCTGTCATTAGCCCGAAGAAATCGTAGCTGGTTGAAACCAAATTACATATTCGATCTGATTCTTTAGCGATTTAAACTTCGTTTTAAAGGATCGAATAAAGAATTCAACAATGAAATTCCGCAATTAGCTGCGTGAAAGCATTACACTTGAATGAGACGATAAAATTGCAATATCTTAGGACGGAGGCGTGCTAAGTATGTATTCCAGTATGAAGCATACGTTTGATGAATTTTTTAGATTTATCTCGACGAAAATGAAATTCCACTAATATACATAAATATTGCCCTTGGATTACATTAATATACATAACGAAATAATTCGGTTTAAATATTGTAAAATTAAATTATGCTATTCGAAAATAAAACTATGCATTCGTCGGATTTCTAAATTTTACTTTTTTCTTTATTATAGTTGTCATGAAACATCTTTTAAAGTTTTAACTTAACACTACTTTTAACAAAGGGATTGAAAGTCAACTTCTAGAATTTTAATTTGATTTTAAATTATTTTCTAAATTTATATATATATATATTTATATATATAATCGTTTTTTCTCAACGGGTTTTTCAACTTTTCTAATAACGATTAAATAATATTAAAAATGAAATTCCACAGTCATTTGATATTATTGCATTTGAATGAAACAGCATGTACAATAAAAAAAGGTCAGTTTCAGTTTAATCAAGATAAAATTCCGTAGAAGCATCGAGCATGAATAAAACAATGTACCGAATAAAAAGATCACAATTAAAAATCTTGTTCGAATTTCTAGTTTTGAAACTAAAATCCCGCAAGTTTAAAAATAAAAAATAATTGTATTTCTTTATTTTAATGTAATAATAAGAAAAGCTCCACAATTACATGAGAATACTTGACTGAAACAACATACAGGATAAAGCAATCCGGTTGGAATATCTTGAAATCGAAAAGAACTGTTCGAGCGGAAAGCTATGCATTTCGAAAGAGCAACAATTTAGAATTTACCTAGAACCAGACGATTTCCATATAAACTTGATCAATTTCCTGCAGCACAAAGAATTGCAAGCATTCGCAAAATCTTTTCAGGGAACTCAGATGCAAGAAGTGAGACAGGAGAGCCAAGCAAGGAGCTACCACCCCCCGGAGTCCTACGCGTAAATATTTCCCATAATTTATCGGTGACTCCATTTTCCCAACATAATCGCCATGTCTTCGAAGGTCGACGTCGGCATCAGCGGCGGCAACAGCGACGAGAAACACAAAGATCGATGAGGAGAAGACGAAGTCTCTCTCGAGAACGTATCACACGATCAAGGACATGATATCCAGTCGTTTCGGTCAGAGTCGGAAGGATACTGAAACGGAACCAGAGGCTAGCTTGAATAATGTCACCGAGGAATTGAGAAAATCCAGCAGAAGCATCGATGAGGAAGAGGCCAAGAAGAAGGAGGGGATCTATGGGAAACCGAGGGCGCAGGAACCCGCTGTTAACATGCAACAGTACCCTAAAAATACATGCGGTAAATACAAATTCGGAAAGTTATGTTAACATGTTAACTGTGAACCCGAAATTCACGCAAATTCCATTGATTTCAAATAATTGAACCCTTATCTAGACAATCTAGGTATCCAGTTTTGCATTTCAACAAACTTCACCAGTTTTTGCGAAAATATTACAAGATCGCACGAAAGCTTCTATTCTACTCTATTATGTAGTTATAGTTTATAAAATTTTAATTTCTGTAATATTGTGCTATTTTTGAAATTTCAGAGTAATACATACATTGATCAATGTGAAAATTTACTAAACAATCAAGATGTTTTGCATTTATTACTATTGCAATCATCTCTTGCCTTTTGACAATTCTATCTAATATACAACTTTAGTTTTTAACACAATCGTGTTATCAAAGTATTTAATATCTGTGGAATTAACTAATGCGAAAATATTGTACGTTAAGGAAGATAATTATCGGATAATAAGGAATGAAGTAAAAAGTTCTGCAAATGCAGTAATGTCAAAGAATAGTCCTTTGTATAAATCACCGGTAAATTATCTTATTTAAAGAGCGTTCAGTGACGAGATTGACAACGAATTTATACCACTTTTGCTTTAATACTTGAACGACGAAGCTGAGGTCCATTTGGATCTAGAGTTAAATATTGTTATTCAAGTGTACAGTTTTTGAGAATGAATTGCATTTTTCACATGTTTCATTAACATTATACCTATCGAACACTAGAAGTGATCAACGCATGTTGCTTTATGAAAATAACCAGACAGAATTTATTTAAACTTTCCGCTATTTTTATTATAATGTACACTTAACTTAATAAATTCGAAGTGTCTATAATTTCTGCAATATTAAAATGAAAAGCGTGAAACCGGTCACTTTGTCTCACTATTAAGGTCTGTAGAAAAACTAACGTTAGGAGTAGCTTAAAAAATATGGCGGAAAAAATTGTTAAATAAATTTATAAATAAGCTCAAGTATGGCCAGTTAACCGTAATATTTCTTGTCTTGTATCCATTATCCGATTGCTAATTAGATTACTTCTAGAATGAAGTTTGCCTGCCCTGCTTTCCAGCACTTACTCGAAATTCTACTTGTTCAGGTCAGTACGGACACTCGTACAGTTACCTGAGCAATCAACAGAACGTACCACTTCCTGGCCAACTGCAGCCTACCACGCAGATCCAACCTAATTTGCCAGGTCAAAGTGCACAGCTCCACGTGACGCACCATGCACCGACCGGAGGAGTTCAAACGGTCCATCAAACGCAAGTTCCCAGCTTCGGCCAATCAGCGACAGGTGGTAGCCAGCAGGTGCAGAATGTCGCGAGGGAATACGTTGTCCAGGGACCGTCTGGACTGCCGAGTCAGCAATTGCATCAAGGAATCCATCAGAACTCTCAGAGCCAGGTAATTTTCGATTTCCTTCCGTGCTCCGTGAACTACTTTTCCGTTGATGTTACTTTAATTTCGTCTATGAACTTGTTTGATACGCAAACTGTCGGCGACCCAGTGCAACATGCTGTATCAGAACTCGGTTAGAAAACCGAGGGAAACCTACGCAACAGAAAATTCACCCAATTTCTCCGAATCGCTGTTAGAGGCAACGCACGACTGAGCAATCCAGTTAGAATAAACCACAAACTCGTCATGCTTCTCTTACGTTGCAATCACTTTTTCTGCGATCTTAATTTTTAAAGGTTACTATCGTACTCGTCTGGTTTTAAGATCGAACCTGAAGCACTGGAAAATCCAGGCAAGTCTACACTGAACTGAAAATTCACATATTTTCTTCAGTTGCATTTTAGACTCACGATTAAATGAGTGATCGATGAAATACTTGCGTTTTTCATCGCAAAATATTTTGTCACAATTTCTATGTTTTGTCTTAAAACATCGACGAAAACTTACACGGGGAAATTCAAGGTTATGTCAAGGTTATGTCAAGGTCATGTCAAGATCATGTCAAGATCATGTCAAGGTCATGTCAAGGTTATGTGAAGGTCATGTGAAGGTCATCTCAAGGTTATGCATTATCGATGAAATGCATGCGATGCTTTCTAATTTCACTTCGATTTTTTTTGCTACCACGGTGTCAAGGTTATGTCAAGGTTATGTGAAGGTCATGTCAAAGTTATGTCAAGGTCATGTGAAGGTCATGTGAAGATCATTTGAATGTCATGGGAAGGTTATGTCAAGGTCATGTGAAGGTCATGGGATGGTCATGGGAAGGTCATGTCAAGGTCATGTGAAGGTCATCTCAAGGTTATATTGAAATATATATCAATAACCTTGAAACATGTACAATGCCTTTTACTTTGAAGCACACTTTATCATAATTACGAATATCAAAGAAAACACATAAACTCGAAAACCTATTATTTTCAACTTCCAACAGAGATAACACGCAACAGAAGAACCCAATTAGGCCGGCTTATCGATGAAGTGCATGCGATGCTTTCTAATTTCACTTCGATTTTTTTTTGCTACCACGGTTTCATAAGATCGTGTGTTACATTTCAGGATCTCAACGTTAGGAAATTGTGCTAAACATACCCACCGAAACTTCACCTATTTTCTACAGATGTATTAGCCAAAACACAACGAAATCATCGCGATCTCCGTATCCTATTAATTCTTCACCGACGCTCGTACCGTTTCAGGGCCAAAGCACGCCAACGCAGAAAACGCACGGCTTGCCAATGCAACAACACCAAGTGAACCCAGGTATGCAGCAATCGAACCAAACCTTCCAAAGCCCTCAGCAGGTGCTGCACCAGAACCAGAACCATCATCAGAGTCCTCGCTTCGCGCAGCAACACGCGCAGAACATGCACCAGCGGCAACTAATCCAGCAGATACATCAACAGCAACTGGCCAACCAGCAGCAGAACAGTCAAACGGGTGCGAGGAACGTGCAACAAACGTACTTCTCGAACAACGTGTCTTATCAGCAGTATCAGCAGGCGAGACAGGCGATGTCAAGGTCCCAAATCGACTTGCCGAGCACATCGAGGCAAACGCAGGAACTTAGGCTCTCTGGGCAGGAGGTTTACTATCATTATGCCCAGGGTAGGCCTAGGTACGGCGTACCCCAGGTTTACATGAAGACGGAATGCAACCAGGAAATCGAGTTCCAGCAACGGAACTCGACCAAGGGCATCGAGAAGGCTGTCTCGCAGCCTCAGTTATGCTACGAGGATGAGCGGGTCAACGAGCAAACTAGGAACACTGTGGAACCCATGAAACCTTTGACTGTCGATCGACTGGACAAGGAGAGGTATGATAGACGCTTTTGGTGAGACAAGGACATTGTTCTCCGAGGTTATTCATTTTAACCCTTTCGCTACGAGCGCTGCGACATCACTGCACGCTACGCGACGCCGATCGTCAGCGGGAGTCGGTACTCCGCGGTCGACGGAGAACCCAAGCTGCTTGAATGTTTTCGAACGAAAAAATTGTTCTCCAAAGGGAATTTATAAATAAAGGGTATTCCAGGGTATTTATAACGTCTTAACTTGCGCTCTTTAATTTACAGTATGAGAGGAAATAACATTATGCAATATAATGCATCTTATGGAGGGCCACTATAGTGGCCCGTAGTACCTCAGTGGCATCATATGGAAGGCCACTATAGTGGTCCGTAGTAGCGAAAGGGTTAAGAAGGGTCTAGGAATGTTTTAAGGACAAATTCCTCAATCATTATGTGTCCATTATTTACTTAATTTAACCCTTGCATAGACAGCCAGGGTGCATAAATTATGTAGTTTTTTTGGTATTTCTAGAGGAAAATGAAACATACTCAGTTGTTTATACGAGGGTTAATTTGTTAAAGCTGTTAGATTGGTGCAGGAATAATCGTGGCTTTGAGACAGCAATTTTAAGGCATCTCAGCCTAAAATGTATTTTAGTTTGACGTAGAAAATTGCGCTTACTTATTTTTGTACGAACTTAGTAAATTGAATCGAATTATTGTTTAAACCTAGTATCCTAGTCTAGAATTGTTATCCCTATTACAAAAACAGAAGAAATAATAGCTAAGAACGACTTCTAACATTATGATTCATGTGACAGCAAACGCATTAAAATTGGAACCGGGCCCTATATTATTGTTTTACAACAATGACAAGATCTTTAAACTTCATGCGATTTCTATTGTAATATATGTATACTTGAATAAAAGAGTTTATTAAAAAGTTTTCTATACAAAGATCTGTATAATTATAGTATCTGTGAAAGAAAAATTCCGAAACCAGTAATTTTGACCAGTTCGATACTTCTTTCNGAGTCGGTACTCCGCGGTCGACGGAGAACCCAAGCTGCTTGAATGTTTTCGAACGAAAAAATTGTTCTCCAAAGGGAATTTATAAATAAAGGGTATTCCAGGGTATTTATAACGTCTTAACTTGCGCTCTTTAATTTACAGTATGAGAGGAAATAACATTATGCAATATAATGCATCTTATGGAGGGCCACTATAGTGGCCCGTAGTACCTCAGTGGCATCATATGGAAGGCCACTATAGTGGTCCGTAGTAGCGAAAGGGTTAAGAAGGGTCTAGGAATGTTTTAAGGACAAATTCCTCAATCATTATGTGTCCATTATTTACTTAATTTAACCCTTGCATAGACAGCCAGGGTGCATAAATTATGTAGTTTTTTTGGTATTTCTAGAGGAAAATGAAACATACTCAGTTGTTTATACGAGGGTTAATTTGTTAAAGCTGTTAGATTGGTGCAGGAATAATCGTGGCTTTGAGACAGCAATTTTAAGGCATCTCAGCCTAAAATGTATTTTAGTTTGACGTAGAAAATTGCGCTTACTTATTTTTGTACGAACTTAGTAAATTGAATCGAATTATTGTTTAAACCTAGTATCCTAGTCTAGAATTGTTATCCCTATTACAAAAACAGAAGAAATAATAGCTAAGAACGACTTCTAACATTATGATTCATGTGACAGCAAACGCATTAAAATTGGAACCGGGCCCTATATTATTGTTTTACAACAATGACAAGATCTTTAAACTTCATGCGATTTCTATTGTAATATATGTATACTTGAATAAAAGAGTTTATTAAAAAGTTTTCTATACAAAGATCTGTATAATTATAGTATCTGTGAAAGAAAAATTCCGAAACCAGTAATTTTGACCAGTTCGATACTTCTTTCGAATTATGAATAATCAACTATCGTCTGAAACTGCTGTCGCTTTTGAAGCATTTATTAGGAAACTCCTGTCTGCTGATCTTCAATTTTAAATGACCTATCGTAGAGAACTGTGAACGGATACGGTGCTAACTTAACCTAAAGCGAGTAGCCTTCAATTTCTATTAAAACTAGACTATCGTTAACAGGTACGAAATCACTGTAGAGAATCACGGAGAATTCAATAGGAACGACTCTCAAAGGAACGACGAATACAGACCGGAAACCAGATTCGGTATCCGCAGAGACGAAGCGATCAGGTGTTCCAAACGAGAACCGGACGGAGTTTCTGGCCAGGAGAGCCAAGAGTCGGAGGGCACTTCGGTCCAAAAGAGAATCGAGGAGTTGCAGAAGAGAGTCGAAGAGAATCACTACAGCTCGAAAGCATCCAAAGATAATGCGGAAGACACGGCTAGGAACTCGTCCGCGCCGAAGGTCATCAACGAAAGCAAGAGAGAGAATCAGTACGGGAAGGACTCTGCTGTGAAGTTGGACTCCAAGAAAGATGAGCTGGAACATGGCATAGGGCGGTTGAAGATCCAGAATCAAGGATCTGGATCGGATTACGATAAAGCTGGACAGAGTTCATCTAATGTGGACTCGGGGAGAGGATCGGCTGTCTATTCCAGCGGAAGACGACCTCCGCCTGAGCATCAGACCCATCCTCCAGGTCTGTTACGCGATTTTTACACAAGGAAAAGAAATAGACCGAGATTCAATAACTTGATAGAAATTTGGAATTATAGATATTGAGAGCTTAATTAGTTTAAAAGCTTCAGATCATTACAAACCTTAGAAAGGTATTGCTTTGTCTTTGACTTTTGTAAGAAGGGTGCCGCATAGGGTGTGCATTAAGGAATTATTGGCGAAAAACGCGTAGGCAGAAAGTTGTCGAAATTTTTGCAGAGAAACTTGAAATATTTCTCAATGAAATAGTTCACGTTGTATATCAATACCTCTCAATATCTCAATATCTAGCTGTTTGTTTACAACGAGATATTAAAGCTGTCCATATTTTTTGAGGACACCCTGTATTCGTTTAATCGCCGACGCTGATTTAATCCCTTGTCGCACAATATCGAGCCAGACTCTCGACAAAGACTCCGAACAGAATTAACTAGACATGGATTTATGCTAAACTTCGGGATTATTCATTCCCTTGAAAACGAAATAAAATCTTATTTTGTTGTCATCTATATTTTTATTAACCATCGGAGTAAATAATAATAATTGACAATTGGAGTAAATAATGAACACGAAGTTCCCTTTTCTTTTAGAAGACATCGACGTCTGAAAAACTGCAATTATCGTTGAGAAAGAAGCCGCAGGACAAAGAGTTAATAGAAAGAGTTCATTAAGATTAGGTTTTGACCGACATTTGTATTCGTCGAAAGTAGAGCAGCGGTGTCTTATCAACTCTTTCGTCATCGACGGTCCAAAGCGTTTATGTACAGGGTGGTCCATTTAAATCAGCGTTATTAAAATCTCTATGAAACATTCAATGACACCAAAGAGTGTTGCAAGTTAAAGTTAACCTTCAAGTAGTGGCCACCGTTTGAATGTCACCAGTGATAATATGACGTCAAATTGACTCCGTATCAGTAATGGTGACTTAACATCAGATTGACTCCGCATCAGTGGTGGTGCCATCAGCGATACAGAGTCTAATCTATTATAGTGATGCGGAGTCAATTCGATATACATCACCACTATTGTTGGTAGTCAATTCGACTCATCACTCTAAAGTTGAATAGCTTCAAATAGTACCTGGAGTGAAATGTGAAGGACTCGTGAAGGTCAAGAATGCTTTCTTAGACAAAATCAGAAATAATTCCGCGGATTTAGGAAGGGAATCGAATGACCATTTGGTTTGTCGCGACAGTGCAAGACTCCGTATGGGTGGACATAGTGGAATCTGAGTTAAGGAGCATTTTGGAGCCGAAAGATGTGCCCGCGATGGCGCATTCGACGCTATCCGAAAGTGTATCATCCGTGACGCCACCATTGCCGCCACTCTCGCCCCATGAAAGTCCCAGAACGCCGAGAAATCGATACTCAGCGAGGTAACATTACTTCCAACAGAGATCTCTTCGCCTCGTAACCGATGTCACTTCCGGTCACTGCCCCGGGTTGCTTCCGATTCATTCTCCTCTTGGAGTAGATCGAAATATCGATAACCGTCTGTCCGGGCAACCAGGCGATCACACTGTGTCGTAACCAGACTAGCAGAAGCCTTTTCGGTCAACTTATTTTACGAGCTTGCCATTTTTCACGAAAAAAAAAGAAAAACATTCGAACAGAACTACGCAATTCGCTCGCCTGAACTGTTTCGGACATCTGTTGAATCTACTATAACAAAATTAATTAAATAGGATGAAGTTTCTGACACTACTTCTGCTTTTTGAAACAATTTCAATTCCGTAGTCTTTGAATAATTCCTGGTATTAAGCTGTCATTCTGCTTGCAGAACTTACGTGCAATAAATATTGTTAGTTACCTTTAACATTGCATAACAGTGTTACGTGTTACTATTCTTGTAACTAGTATTCGCATTTTGTGCAACTAACAATCCATGAACTGATCCCTAAACATTCGCAGACCGGACGCTCGACGAATTTAAATACAAAAATGATCAATGCTGTCTTGTGTAAACCATTTTTTTTAAATCGAATTAGCCCTAACTGAATGGCGTCGTATCATAGACAAATCTTAAAGTGTATGACATTACAATTTATTGCAATGGACAGTAAAATATTTTAATATCGATTAAAAGTATGCATAAACATTCGCACAAACGGATTTAATCGATCTATGATACAATAACAATATCAATTTCATCGTTATTATCTTATTTAAAGAAACGTTTAAACGTTCCAAATAAAACGTATCAACACATGTACTATACTAATTTTATTAGTAGTATGTTTTTTAAAGATTGGAGAACTAAAAGACTAACTTCGTTGCAGTATGTGTCCTTGGTACTTTTGGCCGGTACTGTACTCCTGCGATAATTAACCAGTTTCGCAGCTTTCTTAACAAGTTTAACAATTGCATGTTTCTGGGTCCTCTAGCTTACCATACGGGTCGAAACCTAATTACAGCGATTACAGTAAGGCCTTGGAGAAAAGAGGATTATCTGGTAGTTCGAAGCATCGTGGCGCCTCCCTGTCCAGGAAAGAAGCTGCGAAGAAGTTTTCTCACCGTAAGCGGTCTTCCCATAAACGGGCCATCTCGTATCATAATTCGCTCTACAATTAATTACAAGCTTACTACTTTCTCAGTTTTCGGTGTGGAAGCAGCGGACCTAACTTCGACGACGACTGGGCTCGATTTAGACTCTATGCTGGACAGAAGCGACTCCGACTTAAGCACGAACGACGCGAGGACTATTAGAAAGCAGTTGGAAGGCTTGGAGAACATGTACAGCGAGGTAAGATACAAAGAAACGGAAATATAAATATCGTTGATATGAATTTATGATATTTGAATCGGGGAGGCTTGCGAACGGTTTTCTATTCATTTATTTCTGTCGTTCGGGTACTGTAATATTACAATATATATATATGTAATATAATTGGAAAATCCCTTCATTATTATATTGAATATAATATAATATAACATAATATATATTGAATTAAATTGAATATTATATTGAAGGGATTTTCCATTATATTCAATGGAGAGAGAAATTATATATCTCTTCAAAAAATCCCTTCAATTTATTGACCAGGGAACTTAGATATTTGATGAACACCAATTTACTTTTGTTTTAATGCAATAGCATGAATAATTCTACAACGGTTTAACATAGCTGATCGTCGAAATTTGTGGGCACTTTATGGATGACAATTTATTTTTACTACTCGTATAAAAAGATGACTAAAGTCAGAATAGACTAGCATCGACGGTGATCAATTTTCTTGGACATTTTATGTATACCAATTTCGTTTTATTTGCCACACTATTATTTGTCACACAAAAGAATGACTAATTCTAAACTTCGTGCATCGTCGAAATTTGTTTGACAATTCGCGGTTACCAATATATGTATTTTCGTTTTCGGTACAACAAAAAATAAACAAATCGAGAATAGCCAGATATCGTGAACATCGGTTTACGTTTACTAATTGCGTGAAAATGTAAATAAATTCAGAACACTTGAACATCGTCGATCACTCAAGCTCTTCCATTTCTTCTCTAATTTTTTGTTGGTGACCCCAGGTGTTAAAACTGCTTGGCGGCAGCGTGAAGAAAAGACGAAAGACCAGAGGCCTTATTAGTTACGGTTCCGTCTCGTCGTTGCCCACGTCATCTGTTTCATCTAGACCAGTCACAAGGCATCATGACAAACGCAGATCCCACGCGATCGACGACAGAATGAAGAAAGCCAAAGACATTAAGGTCAGTTGCTCGTCGTGAGTCTTTGTATTTTACTGTTTCATTTCGACGATTCCGTGCATCATCGTTATTATAATCGCACTGCAAAAACTTATGCAAATTCATATCTCCACCAACGGGACAAGAAACTCCAAATAGAAATGCTGCGTCCTATTTCACGGTCCAGAAAAGAAGTTTAAACTATTTTCTACTTTAATGAAACTGGCAGTTACACATATCCCGCGATTTATTAAACTAAATTTATTAAACTATAAACTATTTATATTAATTTCTAGTTTCTTTCTTAACCCTTTGCACTTGCGTGTCTTCTCCCAGGGGGCGCAATAAAACTACCGGTAATTATGGCATTTTGAAGATTACAAATTTTTGTTTCATGAAATATGTACAAGTACAATCTTACACCAAATTCTACTCAAATATAGTAATAATTTACAACATTGTATCATTTTATAGTTTGTTCAAAACTTTAGTTACCATTTCGTATATAAGTATTTGTCGAAAATCCTATCTGCACGAAGGATTGATTTTGCAGTTCTCGTAACACGAAACGATTGTTCACAGAGCATCAACAAGCGCTTTCAGCGGCTAGAGTCTCATGTGGTCACACTGGCGAGGTCGGTGGCTCACCTGAGCTCGGAGATGAGGACGCAGCATCTGATGATACAGGTGAGAAAACCTCGTTAATATTCCACAGTGAACTTACGTTTCCGCACAGTGATGAAACGAAAAAAAGAGCGAGAGAGAACGGACTTTTGAACGAGTAAACTAGGCGGCAGGAGAAACTGGAATTTCCAAAATTCAGTACTACCAGGTGTTCGCAGGAAATGGAGAACATAAGGGGCGAGATTGCGGCACTGAGGACACAGACGAGCATGGCGATGGTGAGATCACAGTCACAGCCGTTGATCAAGGACTCAGAGTTACCTGCCCTCTCGAATCCTTCGAGGGTGAAAAAGCTGACCAAGTTCTTCGGCACGGAACCACCCCTCATTCGACTGTTCCTGAGGGAACTTGGGTATGAGGTGCGTTTCGACGAACTCAAATTGTTTTTACCATCATTGTTAATAACTGGACTTCGGATATTTATGCATTCACTGCACATACAAATTTTTCGAATACAAGAAAATTTTCCTGTAGACAAAATAAATATATTTCCTTGTTTTGATTTTTATAATATTATGTAGGAAAACATTCCATAGAGGTTCGTAGAAAATTTCTTGTAATACTTTTTCTAGCCAGAAGAATATTTCTTCCAGACGCAATTAAAATGACGAAGTTATTAAGTCCTCATTAATATTAGTATCTTGCTTTATATACGGTCGTGGATAAGTGCGTAAAGTGGACTAATAATTTTTATGATTTTTGATAGTAGCATTTCATGCTGTTAAGATTTCTGGTCAATTTTGTAGGCGGTAGTTCTACTTAAGACATTTTAGGTCCTCATAAACGTGCCAAATAAAGTGTGACATATTTTTTCATTAGAATATAAGGAAGACATACACTTCATTATTTTTTAATCAAATAGTGTAAGTATTCAAACTGAATAACATTCATTTATTTAAGTCTTAAATCATACTGTTTTATTATACAGTTGTCCTAAAAAAATGTTAGACATTAAATGATTAGATTCTTTGCCCTGTTTAATTAAATGAAAATGAAGTTGCTATTAAAAAGGACAATTTATAATTCCTGTTTCAGTATACCTTGCATAATTCAAACGATAGGATGACATCTTGTTTCAATATTAGAAAATAATCAATATATAGAAAATAATCTATTTACAGTAGCTTATTGTTTATACACATATATGTACTACAATTAGTCAACTGTAATGATCTGTAATTATTCTATGTTATAAAGCAGTCTCGATTTTGGCAAAATATATCAAAATAACACGGATTCATTGAAGGGGGTTTATTGCAGCTATTTACTTCGAGCACTTAATACCAGTGGCATCTTTATACTACATACATACCATTTATTACCAGTGGCATGTTTAGAATTTATTGGTGTTTTGTACATTATGTATTTATTATCAGTGGTGTTTGTGCAAATTTATTATAATCTTGTACATTATGCATATATCACGAATAGTGCTTTTGAAATTTATTGTGATCTTGTACATCATGCGCTTATCGCGATCGATTCTCCCGAAATTTATTGTAGTCTTGAATATTATGCATTTATTACCGGTGGTAATTTTTTAATTTAGTATAGTCTTCTAAACTATGCACTCATCATCATCAGATCATACCATCATCAGTGGTATTTTTCGAATTACTTGTAGCCTTGCGTTTAACACGAATTGTATTTTTTTTACAGAAATATGCGAACGCATTCGAGAAAGAGAAGGTAGGAATGGTGGAGCTTCCCTATCTAAGCGAGGAGAGGTTACAGAAAATGGGAGTGCCCCTGGGTCCAAGGTTGAGGATCCTTCAGGAAGCCAGGATATCGGTGTGCAAGGACCCGATTTACGTCGTATGAGATCCTCAATGTGTTCAAAATGAAGGAACAGTTCGAGAATGGATGCCAATAGGGGTTGAAAATATCTGGAAACTGATTTCTCCGCGTATTTTCAGAATAGCAACGATCGACTGGTTTTACTTTCCATTGGTAGGTTTTAAAGACGACGAAGAATAACGGAGTGAATGAATTTATGTCTTTAGAAGTACTGAATAGCAAATTGTTAAGTTCTAGGAGCGAATGTGTGTATGTATAGGAATTCAGTCTGCTCGCAAGATAAAACAAAACTACTGTTGCAACGCTTTAAACTTTAAATTCGGAAAGTTTAACGTTACCGTGCGTTTCCACGGGGTTCACTGTAACTACTTCTTTACCATAGGTTAATTTATTTACGTTTAATGAAAATCGTGCTAAAGAAACTAGTAACCAAGCAGAAAGAGAGAGAGAGAGAGAGAGAGAGAGAGAGAGAGAGAGAGAGAGAGGGAGAGAGAGAGAGAGAGATGGATTAGTTGTTTTTCGAAAGTATGGATAATACATATTGTTACATGCGATACAAACTGTACGTTTTGTTATCCGGGAGTCCCATATTTATTATAAATTATTAGCAATTTGTACAACGTCGCTGTTCTCACTCGTACGAATCTCGTCGCTTCCAAAGCAGGCAATAAAAAGGCAAAATACTAACATGAATGTAAATATCATTCGGCATATCGGATTAACCACATCAATTATCTATTTATACAAAGGAAACACTTGTCCGCTTCACCGTGGTGAAGTCATCACTGTTTGTATCATAATTGAATTGAGAAATTTATTATAGGAAATCGTAGTATTAAGTTTTTTCTATTTTGTATATTTATAATAAATTGTTAAGTGTAACGCGACAAGGATAGGTAATGTATTGTTAACGCAGACTGCATTGTACAGTTTCGATCAATGAATTCGAACAGATAAAGTAATCCAAGTGTTAATCAGTGGTCTCAGGGAGTCATCGAAATAGTTCACCCGTGTAGATAAACGAATTTTCATCTTTTTCTCCGAAAAAGCTTGCAGTTATATCGATCCATAATTGTTCAAGACACTCGTCCCGTCGCTCTTGAAAATGAAAGTTTTCCATAATTTCATCGTCGAACGTGCATTTCGTGATGGCATGTTCGATTTGCCGCTATTTTTACCGAATGCTACCAAACTATGATCAATAGCGGCCTAAATTATTGATCAAGGTAGGAAGAGTGAGTTTATGCAACGCGAATCGTAAGAGATTTGTCAGGTCATTGTTTCGTTGACTCCGCCGAGCCGCACGAAAGCTCAAGCTGTTGACGCGAATGTATTGTTGAGAACGAGAAGCAAAAATGAAATTGCCAAAGAGACGCCGCAGACATTGTCAGCGATGTGGTGTTCACCCATGATTCCACTGTTATTTCCAGTTCTAAAAAGGTTCTGAAAACAGTTCTAAAAAGTTCTAAAAACAGTGCTAAAAATGTTCTGAAAACAGTTTTAAAAGGTTCTGAAGACAGTTCTAAAAAGCTCTAAAGTTTCGAAGTTCTAAAATGTTCTAAAGTTCTAAAAAGTTCTAATGTTCTAAAATTTTAAAAGGCTCCTAAGTTGTGCTGATAGAAATAAACTGAATCGATATTTAAAAATTGTAGATAAAATAGAAAACATTAATTACCTACACATCTGCCACAAAACCAACATCAGTGACGTCGCTTATTGCGATATCTTGATGAACTGTGCTACGTACGTACAGGGCCAATCAACTCAGCCGAAAGATGCTTATGGGCTAGAAACCCTAGCGAGGAGATAACGGTAGAGGTCACAGTTACCGACACAGTGAGACGAAAACATGGGTTTAGGGGTTGACACTAAACTAAATCAGCACCCTATTCGATATCTGTTGGTATCATGGGAAGTGCGCGAATGTCAGACTTCATGAGAATTATGCAGATAGTTGGTAAATATAAGTTTTAGAAAGTAAGATAAAAATTGATGACCAAAACATGGATGATTTTTGTTGATGAAGGTCTGACATTCGCGCACTGCATTGAACCATCCACTGTCGAACGATTCAAATAAATGTCGTAAGAGATACTGATTTAAATAAACTTAATCGATATTTAAAAATTGTCGATAAAATAGAAAACATTGATTACCTACACATCTGCAACAAAACCAGCATCAGTGGCGTCGCTTGTAGCGAAATCTTGATGATCTGTGCTATGTACGTACAAGGCCAATCAACTTAGTGGAAAAATGCTTATAGGGCCAGATGCCCTAGCGAGGAGATAACGGTAGAGGAGACACTTACCGACATAGTGAGACGAAATCATGGGTTTACGGGGTGACACTAAACTATCTTAAATCAGCACCCTATTCGATATCTGATGGTATCGTGAGAAGTGCGCGAATGTCAGACTTCGTGAGAGTTAGGCAGATAATTAATAACATAAGTTTTAGAAAGTGTTAATTTTGGTGTCAATTTCAATTTCAATTGCCAAGATTTCATTACCGGTATATTAAACCATTATTAGTGTTACAAGCGAAGGTTGACGATTTCGAAGAGACCTTCGAAGTCACACACCGATCGGTGCTCTCGCGTGAACCACACGTGACGTACTTGTGCGTGCGTACGTGAGCGCAACGATATAAACAGTACGACGTTGCTAGGACGACCGGCGGGTCTTAGATGCTGGTTGAGCGAAACGGTCAAATTCGAAAGGGACATCGATACAAGGACACGTTCGCAGGCCGCGAAGTATATTACGACGAGCATTCACACGAATACGTTTATGCCTACAATTACGATTATGATTTTTTTAGAACTTGTTTCTTAGATTCTTAGATGTGTTTTCCAAACATTTTAGACCTGTTTTTAGAACTTTTTAGAACTGCCTTCAAAACTTTTCAGAATTGTCTTTAGAATTTTTTAAATCTGGTTTTAGAACTTTTTAGAATTATTTTCACTACTTTTTATATATAAATCTGTTCTCATATCTTTTTAGAACTCTTTTTAGGACCTTTTAGAACTGTTTTTAGAACTTTTTAGAACTGCCCTCAAAACTTTTCAGAATTGTCTTTAGAACTTTTTAAATCTGGTTTTAGAACTTTTTAGAATTATTTGCACTACTTTTTATATATAAATCTGTTCTCATATCTTTTTAGAACTCCTTTTAGGACCTCTTAGAACTGTTTTTAGAACTTTTTAGAACTGCCCTCAAAATTTTTCAGAATTGCCTTTAGAACTTTTTAAATCTGGTTTTAGAACTTTTCAGAATTATTTTCACTACTTTTTATATAAATCTGTTCTCATATCTTTTTAGAACTCCTTTTAGGACCTTTTAGAACTGTTTTTAGAACTTTTTAGAACTGCCCTCAAAATTTTTCAGAATTGCCTTTAGAACTTTTTAAATCTGGTTTTAGAACTTTTCAGAATTATTTTCACTACTTTTTATATAAATCTGTTCTCATATCTTTTTAGAACTCTTTTTAGGACCTTTTAGAACTGTTTTTAGAACTTTTTAGAACTGTTTCTAAAATTCTAAAAACAGTTCTAAACAGCTCTTAAAACTGTTCTAAAAATCTCTAAAAATTTCTAAAAAGTTCTGAAGACAGTTTTAAGAAGATCTGAAGACAGTTCTAAAAAGTTCTGAAAACAGTTCTAAAAATTTCTGAAAACAATTCCATAAAGTTCTGAAAACCGTGAATATGCGGAATCTCGGCGTCTTGAAAATTTGTACGCGGTTTCGATGGGGTAGAAATAAAATTATTTCGTCAGGTGTTACTCATATTTTTGTTAGAACACAATCGTCAAGTACTTTAACAATATCCAATTTACATCCTGGGTTACGAATTTCGTCGTTGATCAAACTTAAATGTTTCAATCCTAGGTCGTAATGAGTACGACACTTGGAAGAGTGTCTGTTACTTTCGGGCGACCTTGAATTGATACTGTTGAAGCAATCGACTCTTTTATACCGTTGCATTTCCTTTCGTAAATAGCACAAATTTTATATAAAATGTTTCTGGTTAGTTTTCGGATTTTGGTATAAAAGTGTCCTTATCTCACGAGTCACCCTGTACATGGGAACGCAATCTATTGTGCCCGAGCAGCGAACCATCAACTACTTTGAGGACGAAGATAATCAATTAGGATCCTCTTTTTGCTTTGGCAGACGAAAAAGGAAACTAGGTTTGGGAGTCTTTCAACAGAAAAATACCAGACTCAGCAATTTCAAAATTTGCAGTTGTGTTCACGGATTTTTAGATGGGACAAATACAGTTTTTATACGCAAACACGACGGTCGAATATCACGTGGAGGAAAACAATCAATTCGGGTCGCCTTCCTATTACGAAAACTGAGAAATGAAGGCAACTTTGAAAATTTCTTGAAGCGAAACTGGAAAACATATCAATTTAAAAATTGTATTCGCGGATCTTTAGACAGAATAAACAATTTTTTTTATATTCGGAAACAATAACCAATTGTCCCAGAAACAAAAGTAATCGATTATGGTCGGTTTCTGGCTTCGACAATTAAAAATCGAAAATTCGGACATTTCTTAAAGAGTAAATAAATATGCCACTTTGAAACTGTGTAGCTGCTTCAATCGATCTTTTTTGCATATTGCAAACACATCTCTTGTGTCCAGAAATAATAAGCACATCCAAAATTATGATGATTTAACTAGAGTATTTTTGAACATCCATTGACTGCGATAGAATCGAAAACAGGAGAACCAAAAATCTTGTCGTTTGCAGTACGGAATTAGAAGAGTGGAGAGCTAAGTCGAAGAGCGATCCACTTTTTGCGACATGAATGCCGGTGTCCTACTTCAAGTATCGATTTCCTGAATATAAAGCGGCGTTTGTCGAAAATGCGCATTTTTCTTTAAACGCGACTCCGTTGGTTTCGCACACGGCGTAATATCCCGAGAATTGGTCATTTCCTATAATTTTATGATAAACAATTTTTCCCACGTTACCGAATCCAAATTTTGAGCCCTGAGAAATGAAAAAAAATATGTGTTAAGTATTATATTATAATAGAATTACAATTCATTATACTTAATGAAGCCTGAAAAGTAAATTTTGAATAGGTGAACAAAATTGATTATTGAGGCTATCATTAAATAAAACAAGCTCCTACAATTTTGTCGTAACGATCTCAAGTTAAACGAAGCAGTTAATAACATGTTTAACATTGAATTTAGATATTTCTTGGCTTGGGATGCAAAAGAATTTTACTTTCGGTTGCACGCCTATGCACGTGCACTTGATACCAAAGAATCGATACCTGCTCCTTATGCAATGAAGATCATATCGACACAATCGCTGCCAATGATCGCGATCGTACACAAGAAAAAGAATGCCACTTCAGTTCTCAATTGTTATCAATCACTGCTATCGAATTCAATTGTAAAATAGGCATTAGTATCGAGATATCGTTCGTTTCCAATTATTTATTGCTAAGTGATTAATGCTATTCCCATTTTCTCTTTTCTTTTTTAGTTTTAATCGCATTCTTCATTGAACGTTGGAATCTCCTAGAATTCGTTCGAGCTCTGTACAGTTAACCAGTTAACTGTTAATTGTTTTTTAAGAATAAGAACGTTTCGATTTTTTTCACGAGTAATAACATTATCAATGCTTGTACCATTTTAATTATATCATCATGTTGTTAAATATTGTATTTAATAAACGATTGGAAAAAAAGTCTGCTGTGTCGGTGCACTTGTTACGAGAGAACCGATATAACCGTGATCGATTGTCAATTAATTGTTGGCCACAGTTCCAATTACAGACAACTCGAGAGGTCTTAGCGAACACGTAACAGCAAATCACTCGGCGGTTTGTGTATCGTGTGATTCAACAACGACCAGTTTGCAATTATTCAATTGAAAGGGGTGGTTGATCCACGAGGAACTAGTCACCGGTCACCGGATAGTTTAGAAACAACAT